GCGAGGCATCACCACCAATGGATGCGACCCATTCCTGCCCTTTGTTTTCTCCCCTTGCCCTTTCTTTGCGACACACTTTGCTTTGCCTAATACCTGCTCCCTGTGCCACCCTTGGCCCTCGGTTTTCCCTGTGCCCTGCCTGGTCCTCGGCTGCTTTTTCCACACCCCCACAATTCTTTCGTTGCCGGCTGCGGCCCCACGGGCGCTCAGCCCCTCCCCACCAACGAACGACCCCCCGACTTTGCCCGACGACGCCTGATAACGGGCCTCCCCCTCTGCATTTTGTCTCAGGGAGGCCCTGTGCATCTGTGCATGCGCCCTGTGCCCCCACCCTGCCAGCCAGCCCATGTCCATCGCTGGTCCACAGGATGCGCATCCCTCCCCCATCCCCTCTGTCGCCCCAACATTGCCGGTAGCGAGCGGCGCAGCCCCCGCACCGGCCCCTCTGTGCTTCCAACGACCTGAGAGGCAAACATGCAGCACACCACACGCACAATTTCGTTTTTTAGCTTAATTTCGTTATTCGTTCTCTGCCATTCTCAGCTGAGCCGCCCTCCCCTGCCGCATAGGCGGCGCTGTGATTGGGCGCCACCGACTGTACGCCACCACCCGCCTCACCGCCACCATATTTAACACGCTCTTCCTTGAACAACCTCAGGGGTGCAGGGGAGCGCACAGAATGAATGCACTGCGCTGAACGCGCGTGCGTGGGGATGGGCTGGCGCCGGCTGGCGGGAGGTGGCATGCACGGGGTCATGCCGATTGGCCAACACAGCCGTTCGTGCGTGCTCGATCTGCTATAGCCATTGCAGCAACAATGGGAGAGCCCATTTGGCGTGAGGTGAGCGGTGGGGGATCTGATCGCTGGTCCTAGCGCCGCTTGAGGACTGCAGGCTTCTTGAGCTCCCGGGTCTCCTGTCAGCGACCGTCGCCGCTGTCCAGAGGTAGCACGCGGCAAGCCCGCTGGGCCGCCCGCCGGCGCCACTTTGTGCAGGCCCTGGCGCAGCCTGCCACCAGCGCGCTGGCCCTGCTGCTGACGGTCGCCTATGCGCTGATCCAGTGGCGGCACCTGGGCTACCCAGACGTCGGCCTGTCATACGACCGGGTGAGTGAGGGTGGCGAGGGGAGGAGGAGGAGGAGGGGCGTCGCCGCCTGCTTGGTTGCATCCACTCGCAGGCCGGGCGCGGGTGCCCCACAACTGCCGGCACCCGCAAACCCGCTCCCCTCCCCTCAACTCACTGCCAGGTGGTGGTGCACCGCGAGCTGTGGCGCACCGCCGCCTCCCAGCTGGCCCACATTGACCTCGTCCACCTGGCCTTCAACCTGTCAGCCCTGTGGTCCATCGGCCTGGTGGAGCGCACCCTGGGCACCCTCCACTACCTGCAGCACACCGCCCTGCTCTTCCTGCTGTCCCCCGCGGTGAGGCGCCGCCCGCCAGCAGGCAGGGCAGGCACGCAGGCAGGCAGGCAGGCACGCCCGGGGTGCCCGGCCCCACAGCCATGCGCCCCATCCCCCGCTTGCGCCCGCCTGCCGAGCCCAGTGGATGGCGGGTGCCCGGGCATGACCGTGCCTCCCTCCCTCCCTCCCTCCCTCCCTCCCTCCCTCCCCCAGATCTGCATCCTCATCTACCACCTGCTGATTGTGGTGGGCCAGAGGGAGCAGTACCGCGAGGTGACGGCGGTGGGGTACAGTTGCGTACTGTTTGGCTGGATGAGCCTGATGGCCACCAGCAAGCCGGGTGGGTGGGGGCCATGCACCGGCCCCAAGCATGCGGCTGGCCTGCGCTGGCCTGCTGCACTGCCTGCCCCTGGTGCTGACACCCCTCCACTCACCCACACACGCTGGTGCCACCTGCTCTCACTGCTGCTGCTGGTGCTGCCGCTGCCTGCCGTGCCAGGCGGCATCACCATGCTGCCCGTGTTTGGGCTGGCCAGCATCCCACTGTGGGCCACACCCTGGGCCTCCCTCCTCATCACCTCCCTGCTCATCCCAAGGGCCAGGTGGGCGGGCGGGACGGCAGGCGGGCATGCGCCAGCGCCAGGGCCTATACACAAGCCAGCGCTGCTGTGACATGGAGTGCAGCACCATGCAGCCCACCGTTGTCTGCTGGCCCCCTCCTGCCCCCTCGCGCAGCTTTGTGGGCCACCTGGCCGGCATGCTGGCGGGATACGCTGTGGCTCTGGGCGCCTTCAGCTGGCTCAACCCGTGGTGGAGCCTCAGCCTGCTGGCGTGGGCGGCCATGGGCCTCAGCTACGCGGCCGCACGCAGCCGCCAGCTCGTCATCCTGTACATCCGCCTGCCAGGGGGCGCAGCCTTTGGCCTGGGCGGCAGCCCCGGCGGCGGCGGCGGCGGCGGCGACGCGGAGAGCGGCGGGGTAGGGGCAAAGGCGGGGGCAAAGGCGGGGGTGACCCGCATAGTGGGCGGCGAGATTGTGCGCACTTGATGGCCCCAGCTGGGCTGGGGCCTGTTAGGTACCCTCCTGCATGCAGCCTGCATGGCCTTCTTCTCATTGTCCTCCTTATTGCAATCTGGAATCAATGCTGCTTGCACAGGGACTCTGGAGCATCCACCCGCAGCGCGCCACAGCCATGAACAAGCGAGCGGGGTGCCGCGTCGCGTCACTGCCGCGCCTGCGGCGGCGGCAGCCGGCAGCCCATCAGCGCCGCCAGGTTGCCCGCCGGCCCCGGCAGCCCCGCCTGCTCGCCGTAGGAGGCCAGCAGGCTGCTGACCAGGTTGACATCCAGGTCCACGGGGCGCAGCGCCGCACCCGCGCCCTCCTGCTCCCCTGCCGCCGCCTGGGCCCCCGCCGCGCCGCCCGGCGCACCATCGCCGCCGCCGCCAGCATCGGCGGGTGTCGGGGCGCGCTCAAAGCTCTCCGCCATGCGCGTGCCCGCCAGCTGCTGGTCCATGGCGGCGGCATAGGCTCCCATGAACTGGGCATCGTCGTCGCTGTCGGTGGCGGTGCCCGCCTCCCACCCCTCCTGCCGCCGCCGCTCCGCCTCCTCCGCGCCCCACGCGGCCCCCTCCTCCGCGGCGGGTCCAGCTGAGGCCGCAGGCCCGCTGGCGGCAGCAGCACTGCTGCGCCCGACACCGGGCGCCGCTGCTTCTGCAGCTGTCTGTGGCTGCTGCCAGGCTGGCGCCTCGCCCGCATCCGACAGGTCCGACTGGGAGGAGGCATCGTCATCGGAGAAGAAAGAAGAGCCCTCCTCAGACGATGTGCCCACGCTGTCGTCGTCGCCGCCTGCCCACTGGGCGTGCCGTGCCGCCGCCCGGGTCAGGCCCAGCACCCTTTCCAGCTCGGCAGCAAAGGCGGCCTCATCCAGCGCCACGCCTGCTCCCGCTGCCGCCCCCGCTCCCGCTGCCGCCCCCGCGTCGCCCGCGGCAGGCACCTCTGCGCCCTCCAGGCCAGCCATCATGTCCACAAACGCCCGCAGCCGCCCCGCCAACTCCCGCGGATCAAACTCCTCGCCCTCGGCCCCCTCGCCGCCGCCGCCAGGAGCGCCGGCCCCGCCCTGCTGCTGCTGCTGCTGGCGCTGCTGCTGGCGCCGCGCCTGGTGCTCCACCTCGTGCTGCCGCTGCTGCAGCTCCGTCTCCAGCTGCTGCCCCGCCTGCTCCTGCAGCCAGGCCTCGCTGCCCTCCGGCGGCAGCTGGGAGGGCGGCGGGAAGGAGGCGAGGTCCACGGGCTGCCGCAGCAGCTCATCCACGCGCAGCGCGGGTGCCGCCATGGCCGCGGTACCACGGCGGTACGCCTCTGTCTGCAGGTAGCTGCCCAGCGCCGCCTGCAGCTGCTGCGTGTGCTGGGCCGAGCCGGGCAGGCAGCCTCTGAAGAAGCCGGAGGCTTGCAGGCGCGCCTTGAAGGCCGCCCACCCCGCGTCCCCCGCCAGGCTGGCCTCGCTGACCTGGCCGCCGACGCCGACGCCCGCCACGTCCCCTGCGGCTCCTGCCCGCTGCCGGCCCGCCCCCGCGCCGCCGTCCCCACCCTGCTCCCCCTGCTCAGCTTCCTCCTCGTCGCGCCGCCCAAAGCGCGCGCGGTTGGCATACATCATCTCAAACCCCGCCGTCAGCTTGAGCCCCACCTCGGCTGCCTTGTACTGAAGGGGGGGGGGGCGGGCAGGAGCACAGGCAGTGGTGAGTGGAGGAGCATGGGGAGAAGGTGGCTCGCCCAGGAGCCGACGCAACGAAGCCGGCGCCGCATGTGCCGCTCAGGCAGCAGCGAGGGGCCCCGGGAGGCTTCACCGCACCGCACAGACGGCGCCTCCAGCGCCCAGCCGGCATGCATGCATGCAGGCCCTTGCTTGCCTGCGGGTCGCTAGGCATGGGCATGGGGTAGCCGCGGGGGGGCGCATACTCCTGCAGCGCCAGCTGGGCGTACAGGCAGCGGCTGAAGGGCGGCGCCGTCAGCACCAGGTCGCGCGGCGGGAAGGCAGCCATCCTGCTGGCGGCCTGCAGCAGCAGGGGCAGCAGGGGTGGGGGCCTGTCAGAGGGGCACGGCGTCGGGGGCGCGGAGCGGCAGAACGCGCTGGCTGGAGCTGGCCGCATGCAAAGGCCGGGGGGACAAGGGTGCCCATTCCCGGCCCCATTCCCGGCCCCATTCCCGGCACAACACAACACAACACAACACAACACAACACAACACAACACAACACAACACAACACAACACAACACAACACAACACAACACAACACAACACAACACAACACAACACAACACAACACAACACAACACAACACAACACAACACAACACAACACACCCACCCACCCTGACATCGTCGGGGTCTCGGTAGTGGAAGGCCTCTACCGCCGCCGCCACCAGCTGCGGCTCGGCCCGCAGCACGTGCGCCACGCGGGCGGGCACCAGCGCGTGCGCCACATGCACCAGCTCCGCGGCGCGCCGCGGGTAGGCGCTCACGCGCGGCAGCAGCGCGGCCTGCGAGCAGGCGGGGCAGCTGGTGGGCGCGGGGGGCGGGGCGGGGGTACCAGCATCGCGCCACCCCACTCCATAGACACACACACACAGGCACAGCACCACGCCCACAGCACACGAACTCCGGGTGGCTGGCAGGGCTCCCCGCCAGCACAACGTGGGGTACCCGCAGCCCCCCAACCCCACCCACACACCCACACACACACCTGCATCTTGGGCGGCGCCGCCGTGTCCAGTTGGCTCCCCCGCACCGCGTCCAGCGCCTGCGCCAGGCTGGGCGAGGCAGCCAGCAGCGGGTCGCCCGCGGCGCGCGGCAGCGGCACCAGGTGGAAGGCGCCGGCGTGCAGCCACACGCGGTTCTGAGCCGTCTCGGGCTTGACCCAGCGGGGCAGCCCGTAGGCCGCCTCTATGAGCAGGAACTCGCCGTCGTTGTCCCACACCCTGCGCACGGGCAGGCAGGCAGGCAGGCAGGCAGGCAGGCAGGCAGGGGTGCGCTAGGGCGCAAGTCGGCAGACCGGAGTGCTGGAGGCTCGCTGGCCGGCGCCTCGCCTCCCGGCGCTTGCCAGCTGGCACCAGCCCTCCCTCACCTGGCGGTGACCGGGAAGGCGCGCGTCAGCTCCAGCAGCAGCCACACCACAAACCATTCGTCCTCAATGTTGTCGCCAAAGTCGACAGAGCCCCAGAGGTGCGGGGGCGGCGCCGCTGCCGCCGCCGCTGCCGCCGCTCCCTCCGCCGCGCCGCCGCGCCGCCGCTGGCCGCCGGTCGCACGCGTGCGCTGCCAGGGCGACTGCCTGTGGGTGCTGAGCTGCAGGTTGAAGCGGTCTCGCTGCCAGATGTAGCCGCGCAGGAAAGGCAGCAGGTGGCCCAGCAGCTGCGCCTGGAGCCCCGCCAGGTCCGCCGCCGCCGCCTGGTCTGCAGCAGCAGGTTCGGCGGCGCCCGGTGAGCGGCGGCCTCCGCGCAGCTGCACCTGCCATCACCGAGAGCATGCCTGCCCACAGCCCCCAGGCTGCAGAAAGCGGCGGGCACTGCAGCGCATCCACATGCCGGCCCCACCGGCGCACCAAGGGCAGCGGGGTAGATCTCAAAGTTGGCGGTGTTCTCCTCTACGCCGCCAGGGTCCTCGAGGCCCAGCGCCTTTCGCAGCCCGTCCATGTCGGCACCAGACAACCTCCAGCAGCGTCACTCCAGACCAACAGAAGATAGCGTATGGAAGGGTGATGGCTTTCAGCAGAGGGAGACCAGAAGCTGGTGCTGCTGTGCATGCTCTGCATGTCGACGCCGTCCTTGGACGTTTCAGATTGCCAGGTAACACATTGGGGTTGATGTCAGACACAGTGCTGTGTCACCCACACAAGATGAGTAAAAACTGGATTCAGTGACGAGAGATGGACATGCAGCGCTGCTGGGCATGTAGTACCAAGACCAAGGGGCGTACTGTGAGGTGCGGGATTTGGGGAGCAAACAAAATTTGAATACCACTTGTGATGTGTGAAATGATTGGGAACAAACAGCGAGCCAGCATCGGGAATGAATAGAAGCCGGCGTTCGCGCAAAACATGCGCTGCCGGCTCCAGCTCGGCAGCCTGCGGGGTGACGGTCGACGGACCGCGTCAGCGTTTCTGGAAATTGACGTACTTGAGCATGATGGTGGCCATGACTGCAGCAGGGGCAAGGCATCAGCAGCACGCACCACGCACAGTCAGAAATGTTCAGAAGACTTGCCGAGAACCGGCATGCGCAGCAGCCAGCCGCCAGCGCAGCCCCCGGACACTCACCCCTGAAGAAGAGGCAGTAGGAGAAGAGGATGAGCACACACCACCAAATCATGTCGAAGGTGTAGCCAAAGCTGTCTTCCATGAACTGAGACACTGTGGTTGGGCCGTTGTACCCCTGCACGCACACAGAGGCATCATTCGGCACGGCAGCCAGCGGCGCACAGGCCTGGGGGCGCCCTCCGCGCTGGTGCACTTGCAGAGGCGCTGGCGGGCCGGCTGCCCCTGCGGTCATCCCCTGCGGGCGGCACCCACCATCATCGGCACGTCTCTGTCCGACAGCTGGCTGCCAGCCAGGCCCCACAGGGTCCAGGTGGTGGGGCTGATGCGGTTCATCCACTTCCACCCCTGCAGTCACGCACGCTACACACCCACGTGCCATATCAGCCTCGCATCCGTGATCCCCCAAACCAAACGCAGCCAACTCGGGCTGCTCCCTGGCTGCCACAGGCAGCCAGGGGCCCACGAGCCGCCACTTGCCGTGGGCATGCTGGGGTAGGGCACCAGGAAGCCCGCAAAGATGGTCCACAGCTGGTTCATGAAGGCGGCCAGGAGCTGCGCCAGCAGCTGGTTGGGGGTGATGAACACCAGGAACTGGCCGAAGAAGGTGAACTGCGGTGCACCGGGGGGGTTGGGGCCCGAGGGACGTGAGCACACCAAGAGTAAGAGAGCGCTGCACACAGGGCGCCGCCCCTCCGAGGCGGTGGGAGCACCACCACCTCACGCCGGCTCCGCCCCGCCCCACCATGGTGAGTGAGAAGAAGTACATGAGGAGGAAGTAGAAGAACTTCCAGGCCACGGGCTGGAAGCCAACCATCCTGCGGGAGGCGTGGCGGGGTGCGGCAGGCGTGGATGGCAGGAGGCCGCAGCGGCTGGGGAGGCGCCGGCGGCATCAAGAGGCGGCGCCGAGCGCCGCTGCAGGCTAATGCCCCGCCTGCCCCCGCCCCTCACCAATAAGCGATGACCACCATGAGCGTGGCCTGGACCAGCAGGTAGGGCAGCTCCACCACGCCGCTGGCCTGCACGGCACCAGGAGCCGGCGGCGTCGGCGGCAGGTGTGCAGCACAGCGGCTGGGCCACCCGCCCCGCCTGCGTCCCACCAGGCTGGCCACCACCTCCTGCCGGCCCCCCGGCCACGCACCACCGCATAGGGCCCCGGCGAGTAGTAGGATGAGCTGCGCTCGCGGTAGAACACGGTGCGCTCGGCGCCGATCACCGGCTGCACCGTCATGCAGTTAAACATGCCCAGGAAGGTGGTGAGCACAAAGACGAGGCCCATCACGTTTTGGACGGTGGCCACATCGGTGCCGCCCTCATCCAGCTTGCCCTGCATGCGCGTGCGTGGAGCAGCACCGGGTGGGAGGGGCAGGCAAGCGCGCGGCGACAGCGGGGCCAGGAGAGGGGGCAAGGGGCAGGGCATGCGTGCGAGCGAGGCCGGCAGGCAGGAGGCAGGGCCGAGGGTTGCTGGGCTACGGCGCAGATGAGGAGGATGAGGGGGGGGGCACCTCGTTCAAGTACACCAGGCCCAGCACGATGGCGATTGTGATGGTCATGGCAAACCGCACAAAGTCTGCAGGTCCAGCGGCGCACAGGCCATGCCAGCTGCCCGTCAGGCACGCCACCAGCGCCTCGCATTGCGGCGTTCGGGAGCCCTGGCCACCGTGCATGCACCGCCTGCGCGGGCTGATGCCTGCTCACTGTAGTTGGGGCTGCGCCAGTACAGCTTGAAGAACTTCTTGATGAGCGTGGAGCGCTGGGTGCTGAAGCTGGTGGCGTACTGGCCCGCCAGCCTGCGCACCGCAGCAGGGGGATGACCCGTGAGCAATGGCAGATGCATGCACGCGTCCAGGCATGCACCAGCCCAGGCACCAGGCACCGGCTGCCCCGCTCACTTCAGCGGCTCGCTGCTCTTCTTGCCCTCTGCCACGAGGCGATCCATGTTGGCCTCATTCTCCCGATACAGATCACTCTCCTGCAGGCGGGCAGCCGCAGAAAGACAGAACATGCCATCATGCGTCTGGCTGCCCGCCTGCCACAATATGGTGCCGCTGTTCGCACTGCACGGGCCTGGCAGCAGCACGAAGAGCAGCTGCGGGCAGCAGGCATGCAGCTCACCAAGTACAGGGTGGGGAAGTCCTGGTCAGAGCTCTTGAAGGTGGTGCTCATGCTGCCGCCAGTCACTTCCAGCATCCTGCGCCAGGCAGCAGGGCAGCGCATGGCAACGTCATGGCACAGTCAGCATCGGCTGCTCGGGCTGCGCAGCCCCACAGATCCAGCGGATGCCGCCAGCTGCAGCGGCGGTCCGGCCAGCCCAGCGCACCAGGTGGCTGGGTTATAGCCCGTCCTGATGGGCTCCACCCCCGGCTGCGACTCGAGGTAGGCGGTCAGCACGCTGCTCTCGTCGCCCAGAGGACCAAAGTAGGTGAGCCGGCCGCCGCGTTGCAGCAGCACCCGCACGTCAAAGGCCTCGAAGATTTCCATTGAGGGCTGCGACAGCGGGGGCCCCAACAGGGAGGAAGCCAGGGGGTGGTCGGGCGGCCACAGCCCGCGGGAACCGCACGCGGGAAGGATCTGACCCGGTGGGAGCCGTGGCGATTCTTGGAGGTGGCAGGCCGGGCGGGGCAGGTGGGGCAGGCCGCACCCGGGTGGATGTCCACCTTACTGTTCGTTTGCTGGAGGCGAACTTCTTGACTGCACGCATCACCAATGGCCCCTCACGCGCATCCAAGCCCCTTGGTGGGCTCGCTGCAAGGGGCGCGGGAGCCGGGCGGATGGGCGCAGGGGGGTTGGGCGAGGTGTGTTGGGCAGGGGGGTGGCGGGGCCGGCAGGGCGCCAGGCATGCGAGCCGGCCACACTGCCCTCGGCTGCCCCACCCCGCCACACACACACACACACACACACCGCCATCACCACCACACACACACAGGCATGCAGGCGCACATGAGCAGCACACCCACGCCCCGCTCACTCCATGAACACGACAGACGGGTTGGCCACCAGCTCCACGCCGATGGACAGGCGCTTGCGCTGCTCCACGCTCAGCCCGGAGCCACCTGCGCAGGCGGGCCCAGCGCCGGCGCCCCGGCTGTTGCCACCCTGCCCTGCCCTGGCCCCCACACATGCTGCCTTGCCCTCTGGGCGGCGCCTCAGGGCCGGCGGACACACGCCTCCGAGCCATGTGTATCAGGCGCCGCGCTGCTGGCGAGCACAGCGCGACACCCCTGCCTGCCCCACCTGGCTCCCCCACGATGCTGTCCTTGATGCCGGTCATGTCGACCATCTCCAGAGCATCATCCACAATCTGGGTCACCTGGTCCATGCCAATGTCCTCCGTGAGGCGCAGGCGCGCCGAAAACAGGAAGGCCTCGCGCACCGTGGTGCCCGCGCTGTGCACGTCCTGCTGCTCCACGTAGCTGCACACGTCAGCAGGGGAGGGGAGGCCAGGGACAACAGGGCGTGGGCCGAGCACGCCTGGAGGCTGCGATCCGCTGCGGGGCCACAAGGCGTCCTTGGGGTGCCCACCCACACGTCATCAGCAGGCAAATGGCGGCGCCTGCCCCAGCCATCGCACCCGCACACGCGCGACCAGGGGCCCTGCTCCTTGGGGTGCCCATTCACAAGGATGTCGCCCCTGCATGCCAACCACAGGCAGCGGGACCAGTGTCAGACGGCGCGCCGAAGCGACAGCCGCCGCATCTAGCGCGGCACACTGCCTGGCCCTGATGCAGCAGCGGCATCCACCTCCGAGGCACCTGATTAGGCCGGTGGTTTTCCTGCCGCACACGCAATCCATAAGCGTAGTCTTCCCTGCAGGAAAGGAGGAGCAGCGGGGCGAGGCAGTAGGTGGGTGGTCCATTTGCGCATCAGTACAAGTGTCCACCACTACCACCTCTGTGCCGCACCGCGCATCACTTGCCTGCACCGCTGCCGCCCATCAGCGCGGTCAGCGAGCCAGGCTCCGCCGAAATGTTGATGCCCTGCATGAAGACCACAGCAGGGATGGGTGTGATGGGCCCCATCCCAGCCGGAAGCATGGTGCCGCGGAGCTGCCGACGGCGCCCAAGCAGTGTGCCCTGGCTCCCGGCAGCACAGGCCGCCGGCAGTCCCCCAGCCCCCTCGCCTTGAGCAGCTGCAGCTTGCCGGCAATCTCCTTGTCGCTGCTGTCCTTGACCACGCCCGGGGCGGTGCCATGGGAGGGGTCGTTGACGTAGTATCTGCGGTACCATGTGGCAGCAGGGACGGTACCGTTTCAAACACCAGCGACGCGGCCTACAGCGGCTCGCACATACTGCTGCCCAGCCTGGGGCGTGGCGCGCACCTGATGTCTCGACAGACGAGCGTGATGGGAACAAAGGGGACCACCGCCTTGTCCCGCACGCCGCCCGCCTCCGGGCCCGGCGCCCCGACCTTCGGCTCCCTGCGAGCCTGCGAGAGGGTCTTGATCCCAAACGATGCCACCTTGCCCATCGTCTTGGCCGTGCTGAATGCGCCCTGCGCCGTCTTGTTGGTCGCCTTCTGCAGCATGTCCACCACGCCGCGCCGCACCTCCTCCTTCTGCTCCGCCTCGGCCACTGCAGGGCAGCGCAAGGGCCGCGGCAGGCAGGCAGGAATCAAGCAGGGCAGTGTGGAGCTGGACCGGTGCTCAGGCCGCGACAGGCCCGGTGCTCAGGCCACCGCTTTGCAATGCATGGATGCTCGGCACGCCTTGAGAACAATGTGCTGCCTGGTGCGTGCTTCCTGCAGTTAGATTCTCATCAGAATGGAATCACATTACCAGCGCCCACCTGTCGGCCTGGGGCTGGGCGGGTTGGTGATGTTCAGTGCCACGATGCCCAGGCAGCTGCACAGGACGAGCCAGAACCAGGAGTAGCCCACAGAGGCCCAGATCCACTCCGCGCCCAGCTGCAGGCAGCAAGGGGAGACGTGTGGTCGTCCTCGGTGGCTTTTCCAGACCCCATCATCATTATTCCGCAAATAATGAGCAGCTGCTACCACTTACGTAAAAGCCAAATGCGTCTGCTGAGACTTGGGCGACTGCATGGCGGGGCAGAGGAGAGCGATTGATGCAGGACACTTCATAAGGAAAGCACACCTGACATCCCCTGGCGCAGGCACTGCAGCAGGCAGCAGGCAGGGCGAGCCTCCACCTCACCTGAGCTGGTCGAGCCGGTGGAGGCGGGTATGTCCCAGCGGGTCGTTCCCAGCTCATTGGCGACCAGCGCACGCACCGCCCAGGCCATGGGGTTCATCCTGCGCACACGTGTGTGTGTGTGTGTGATGGTGGCGGGGAGAGGCGCGTCATGGCGGACGGGTGTGGTGCACAGGCAAGGCCCAAGCCATGCTGGGAGCTGGTGGCTGGCTCACCAGTACACCCAGATGAGGTAGACGGGGATGGAGGTGCGCACAATACTGAAGCCGTTTGTGATCATCAGCATGAGCAGCATCTGGGCGGCAGGGCGGGGGTGGGGTGCGGCATGCGGTCACAGCACACCACGTCCCAACAAACTGCACTCTGGCGCTGTCAAGTGGCAGCACGGCAGAAGGACGTGTGCACACTGCAGGGCTCTCTGCTCACCACGCCGCCGCCCGCGTTGGCGATCACCATGGACGGCACAATGAAGGCAATCAGGCGGTAAAAGGCGGCCATGGCTGCGCGGGGGGCGGCCGAATGTTGCAAGCAGGCAAGCAAGTCAGGCCGCCAAGTCAGAGGGAAGCACACAGCCTTTGTGAGCCTGCTGCTCTCCACCTCCTTGCTTTGCACCTCCTTGCTTGCACTTGCCCAGCAGGCTGCGCCCCAGCCCCAGCCCCAGCCCCAGCCCCAGCCCCAGCCCCAGCCCCAGCCCCGCTCACCATTGCTGAGGCTGAAGGTCACGACCAAGAACAGGAAGTAGTTGCTGGCGGTGCGGGTGAGGCCCGAGATCCAGTACACCCCCAGCGAGTAGATGACGCACTCGATGGTGCTCTGTGGCACCTGGGTCAGCACAAAGCTCAGCACGTAGGAGGCGGGTGGGAAGAAGTTGTTGTTGCGTTGCTTGTAGAACACCCTGCGCGGGGGGCGGGGGGCGGGGAAAGGAGGGAATCGTTGAACCCATCCCAGCCCAATCAGGAGCGCAGAAAGCCGGCCGCGGCCAGGCCGCAGCAGTTGCGCCACAAGGTGGAGGTGCTAAAAAAAGATCCGCTCGTCTGCGTGGGCCAGGAGCCCGTCCGGCAGGCCGTGCACGCCCGGCCGCACCTCTTGTTGGCAAACACGATGCCGACCTGCGGCATGCTGAACATGGCCATGTTCATGACGGACAGGGAGCTGAGGGACATGACCTGGCGCGAGTCGGCGGTGGTGGGCTCCAGGGTGGCAAACAGGGAGCCGATGATGAGGGTCAGGATGGCGGCCTGCACGCGGGGGAGGGCAAGGGGCACGCGGCGGGCCTGGGGTCGACAGCCTCCACCTCGAGCCGCCCGCACGCAGGGTGCACGCTCAGCTGGCGATAGCCATGCATGGGCCCGCCGTGTGAGGCAGATGCGGTGGGGCTGGGCGGGGCCAGGCCTCGGAGCAGCTCCCACCCCACCCCACACCACACCACACACAAGGCGCCCACCTGCACAGCGCGCGCAATGTAGAACGCCTTCTCCCGCTTGTTCAGCTTGACCTGGCGCAGGAAGACGAGCTTGGTGAGGCGCAGCACGCTGCTGGCGTACTTGGTGGTGATGAGAGAGCCGGGGGGGCTGTCCTCGGGCCTGAAGGGGTGGCTGTCCAGCTGGTCCAGCAGCCGCCGGCCCTCCTGCCAAGCACACGGGCAGGGCGGGGGGGCGTCAGTAGGGTGGGGTGGCACGGCGAGGATCGTGCTACGCCGGCCATCAGCGTCTTGCCGAGAAGAGGGGGCCGAGGTGCACTGGACTGGACCACTTGGCCGGCAGTCGACCCCACCTCAGTCTCCTTCCAAAACGCCTGCTCCATCTCCTCCACAGGCGCCAGCAGCGTCTTGGGCGGGGCGGTGAGCAGCTGCACAGCACGGGCAGGCGTGACGCCGCCACTCTTCAGCCCCCTGCACCAGCTGTCAAGCAACGCACCAGCACAAATCCACGACCGCCTTGCCCAGTCCCAGCCCACACATGTTTGACCCACCAGCAGCCGCGGGCCACACCTTGGTGGCGTCACGGTCCTCCTCCGTCAGCCCCTTGCGCTCCAGCAGCGCCCCGCTGGCATACGCGTACTGCCCCACCGGCGTCGTCACCTCCTGCGCGCATGGGCGGCAGGCAGCAGGGCGAGGCGAGGCTCGCACCACCGCGAGCGGCTGCTGCACGCGAAGCAAGCCACGAGCGCCCGCCGTCGTCAACACCCTGGGGCGCGCGCGCACCTGCAGGAAGGAGCCGACATCCTTGCGGACCGGGCACCGGAAGCCCAGCTGGTTGTCGAAGAAGGGCACGATGCCCGACACAGGGCCGCTGCAGGCGGCAGCAGCACAAGCAGCGCCGTCAGTGGGAGGCATGGGCTGCCCGCCAGGCTGGCATGCACGCCGCCCTTTGCAGGTGGTGAGCCTGGGTGGCGGCGCTGCGTCACGCACTGGTACATCACATGGCCGTCGGTGAGCAGCAGGATTTCGTCAAACAGCTGAACAACCTGCACGCCCCACCACACAGCATCGGATGGGGTCAGCCGGGCAAGCCGCGCCACATCGCCCCTGCCCGAGGACACAGCCACTCTTGCGCCGAGCAGCTGGCTGGCCGTACCTCGGGGGCCGGCTGCAGCAGCGAGATGAGGAAGGTCTTGCGCAGCGCGTGCGCTGTCTGCACAAAGCTCTGCACCACGCTGTATGTGGTGGCGCTGCAGGGCGGGAGGCACAGGAGGGGGGTGGTGAGGCGCGGGGGCCACTGGTGGATGCCGCTGACGGTTGCCATGCGGCGCAGCAGGCCCAGTGGCGGCAGTGGTGACAGCCAGCTTCGGCGGCCTACCTGTCGAGACCTGTGCTGATCTCGTCCATGAGAACCAGCGACTGCGGGCCGCACAGGATCTCGCCCGTGGTCACGCGCTTGCGCTGCAGGCGGGGCGGAGGGGGGAGGGGCCAACAGGCGCACAAGCAAGGGGGCTGGGCTGGAAGGCCCACGCGGGGTGTGGGAGTCTGGGGGGCAGCAGAAGTCCAGAGCGGGACAGCATGCCCCTGGGCTGGCTGCCCTCACCCACCTGCCCCCCGCTGATGCCGCGCGTCATGGAATCCCCCACAACCGTATCGGCCACATCCAGCAGGCCCAAGATCCTGCAGCCAGGGTGTTGGCACCGCCCTCGCTCACAATGCGACCTAATGTTCGACAATGCACGGCAGGCACAGGCCAGCCCGTCATGTCCAGGCACAAAGGGAGGTGACCGCAGCGCCTCCGAGGCACACAGCTCACTTGAGGATGACAAACGGCTTGGCCCGCTGCTTGACCATCATCCTGCATAGGAGTAACAGTGTAGCAATCCCAAGTTCCCAAGCAATGCCCAGTGCCAGCCAGATGCAGAGTAAGTAGCCCAACTACTGCTTTCTTGCCTCATCGCAGTCACAAACTCCATGTCAGCAGCAGCGCTGCCAGCTCCGCCGTTCTCTTGCCCAGCCTGCACGACCGGAATGGGCTGATGCATGGTGAGGCAAGTACTGTCTTGGGCGCGCTCTCATGCATGGCTTCCCTGAACAGTAGGCCACAGCTCTGTGGAAGGCCGAAGCAGCAAAATGTGATACCGGGCTGCACTGACCTCGCCGGCCTCTGCTGCATCGTCTGCCTTGTCCATCTCTAGCAGGGACAGGTCTCGCTCAATCCGCTCCTCAACCTTCAAATGATGAAAGGACGGTGCAAGGGTCAGAAACATATCCAGAAATCAACAGAAACCATCACAGTGCGTGCAACATGCCCACCTGCTTGAACTCTGCCAGCAGGCGTGCCGCATCCTGGAGGTCGCACAGGCAGTTGTGGGAGAACTGACACGTCTCCAGCACCTGCATGTATACCGTGAAGGGGCTGTGATAAAGCTCTGAAAGGAGTTTCAGCACAAACCATGCCCCCGGCCCATGCCCGGCACAGCAGCAGCGAGTACATGCTGGCGCAAGTGCTGCCAGAGCTGGCAGCTTACCGTCAGATTGGGGATGTGGTAATCAATTTGATCCCTGCTCCACCAAGCAGGCAACATACGAAAGGAGGAGTCAAAATCGTGTGATGATGGGCAGCCGCTACAGTACCTTCCCCTCACCAGGGTCCTCACGTCGTGCATTTCACGCGCCCCCGGGGCACACGTGGCAGGCTGCGCACATGTCGTCATGCACTGCAGGCACGCCTCCAATGGCAGCACCACACCACTCACACGTAGGCCACAGTGCGGCGCACCACAAACTCGCTGCTCTCCTTGCCATTGTACTTGACGGAGCCGGTCATCTGCAGGCACGGTTGCCACCAGGGGTGAGCGAGCATCAGGTACCAGCAGCTGGGTAGACAACGGTGGCCTGGCAGTTGTCGGCTCGTAAACCAGCAAACAAGCGGCCAGCAGCACACACCTTGACTTTGGCGTCGCTCTGCAGCCGCCCGCTGAGCGCCTGCATGAACACAGACTTGCCCGAGCCCGGGGGGCCAAGCAGTAGGGTCGTGGTGCCGGGGCGCAGCGCGCCCGTGACGTTCTTCAGGATCTGCACTTTGGCTGTCTTGAGGCCGCCCTGCATCCAGGCAGGCCAAGCCAGGCAACGTGACGCAGCAGCGGGGCAAGCATCACACCACCCGCATGCTGCACACGCCATGCCATGCCTGCATGGCTGCCTGGCCATGCCATGCATGCATCCCCCGGGCCAGCCCCTGCGCGCCTGGCACGTCAGCTTCTTCATCATGTTCTCCAGCGTGTTGCCCAGGGAGGGCGTGCTGCCCGACCCCACCAGCGCATCCGCCTCGATGCACAGGTCGCGGTACTCCAGCGTGACCTGCGGGAAGACCACCCCCGCCTCCTTGAACAGCTTGGCCAGCCGCTCGGCAAACACAGGGCCGCCGTCCTCCTTGCCCATGTCCATCACGCGCCCCGCCAGCTTCGCCTTGTCCATGCTGCAGCCACAGGCAGGGGAGGGGGAGGGGGAGGCAGGATGACCAGGCTGCGTTGGCAGGAGGTGCGCTGGTCCGGCGCCTGCTGCCTGTGCCTGTTGCGACTGCGGCCGGGCCCTGCAAGCTGCCCAGCTCACGACGGCATCTTCTGGGTCCGCCCCGCCTGCCGCAGCTCCTCCTTGGCCGCAGCGATGAGCTCCTCCAAATCCACCACCGATGTCGTGGCGCCCCCGGGCAGGCTGAACAGGCTGTTGCGCTGCAGAAACGGCACCATGGCCGTGGCATCGAAGCCTGCAGGACAGCGGAAGTCGTCACACGCGGTAGAGCCTGCCTGCTGCAGCGAGGCGACCACAGCCACGGGCAGCAGCAGCGGCGGCAGCGGCGGCGGCATCCCTGGGCTAGGATGGGACGGGCGGTAATTGCTGATCGCTTGCAGGCCAGTAGGTTTCGGGAAGCCCCTGGGGCCTGTGAACAGCCCAGATGTTGAGAACAAACGGGGTCATGCCTTGACAGCGCTCACCCAAGTCGGCTGCCTGCCCATACTGTGGGTCAGGAGGATCGAATTCCATGTAACCCATGGCGGCACACGGAACAGGCCGTTGGCCAGCTCCAACACGGGCCCAGCGGGGGTTCTGCCGCCAATGAGGGTGAGGAGGACGCTACCGGTGCCCTCCACCAATCGGCAACCAGTTGAGGAGAAGAGACGACACGCCTTCAAACCTGAAAGATGCCAGCGCCCCGAGCATGCTTAGCGCGGCGAGACCGGGCGGCGGGGGCATGCACGTTTTCTTCTGTCTCTCCCTCTGTCAATCCCGCATTCTCCTGTGCAGCTTGCAACTCGCACAAGACATCCATGCAGATGAGGACGTCCATGCAGATGAGGCACTGCTGGCACATGCCAAATACAACTTGGCCAGGTGGTCACACAGCATGCCCGCCCAGCCGGCCAGCCACCCAATCACTTCTCCTTCTTCAGGCTTTCATCCCGCTTGGGCTTGCGCGGCGGCAGTGCCATGCCCACCAGAATGATGGCCAGAGTGCTGATGTGGCCCAAGAAATAAACAGAGCGCCAGATGGACAGGCAGTCATGCAGCCACAGCACCTGCAGCGGCCGGGGCACGAGGGAGACGCCCCTCACATGACTGCGGGTGCATCCAAGCGAGGGCCGCCCAGCGCATGGCAGAGATGCCCCCGACAATACGGCATGCTGCAGCGCAGGTTGGCTAAGGCAGCAAAGAATGCGCCAGGCCGCAGCCTCGAGCCCCGCAGCCCGGCTCACGATGAAGCTGCTGGCGGCGTAGTTGAGGATGATGGCGTTGAACACCAGCTTGGCCAGCACCCAGACCGGGAAGGTGCGCACAGCGGCGGGCCAGCTCTGCTCATACCTGCTTGGGAACAGGGGCGCAGCATGCAACAGGCATGATCGGATCCACACAATGATGCCAGACTGGCTCCCTGGTGGCCCTTGCCCCTCTCGCTACGCACCGGTACAGCGTCTTGCCCGCCTCAAACATGATGGCGGTGGTGGCGAAGAAGAGCCAGTAGCCGGGGAAGAGCCCGTGCCTGCAGGCAGCGGGATGGGATGGCGAGCGCAACGGTCGGAGCCGCACGCCACCACATGCGTGAGTCACCCAGCGCCGCCATGCACCAAGCCGGCGCTCACCAGACACCCGACACGAGCTGCGTGGTGACCAGCGTGCCAAAGGTGGGCCGTTTGCCGACCGGCGTCAGCCGCTCGTACACGTCTGCAGCAGAGATGATGGAGGAGGCTGCGGCTTGAGGCTGGCAGCCCAAGCTGAGCGGGAAGTGCAGGTAGCAAGCGATCGCATGCCCTCCCTGCCTGCTCCAACCCTGGGAATGCCAATGTACCAGGACTGTCCCCACCACTCACAGTGCCTGAGCCAGAGGCCGGTGCACACGTTCCAGTTGGCGGCCAGGTTGGGCAGGGAGGCGTTGAACTCCACGCGCCGGATGCGGCTGTTGATGTAGCGGTTCCACAGCGGCCGGCCCTGCGGCAGCCGGCGGGAGGAGGGCAAGAAGGTGTGGGCTTGCCACAGGCATGTGTGCCGTGCATAATCTGATCCGCCTGCTTGCCTCTGCATTGCGCCCATTGTAGCAGAGGCCACTGAAGATGAGCGACGACTCGGCCACCGCCCACGCAAAGCTGTAAAGCAAGGCAACAGGCATGGTTGGGCGCAGTGCGGAAATTGACCAATTGCAGCACAACACAATACTACAGTGCGTGCCCGATCGTGACTGCAGTCCAATCGGTAAGTTGACCGCCCCTTCACACGCCCCAGCACTCACTAGTACTTGCATCGTGCAGCAAAACCGACGACCCACAACAGGAAGAAGCGCTGCGCCAGGCTGACCTCTTCCTGGAAGTAGCGACTCTCTAGCAGGTCTGCGGCGGTTAGGCAAATGTTGAGCAAAGGGCCATACGTATTGGTAGGAAGGGCCACCACGGCACACATCCCGCAACCCATCGCAGCAGCAGCGGCAGCAGCACCTGCGCCATAGGTCCCCGACAGCTTCATCCACAGCGCCGCGCAGATGAGCGCCTTGACAAAGCGCACCAGGCCCGGCAGCAGCGGGTTGGGGATGCACTTGGCAGGGTCTGACTCGTCCCAGGCGCCCTGCACCAGTTGGGCACAAGCAGGCAGCTGGCACCATCAAAAATCACGAGACCAGGCAACCATCAGGTCACAGCAGCCAAGCGCTCCCACCGGCATGTTGTGCCGTCCCCCAGCACTCTTGCCCTCGCTTGCCTTGCGATCCACATAGTCAAAGTAGTCGTGGGCCTCGAAAAAGGGCCCCGCCAGCAGGTTGCCCGCCGCAAACAGGTAGCTGAAATACTCAAGCAGCGAGGGCAGCTGCCGCAGCTGTTTCTTGGAGGCATACTCGCTGAGCCGCTCCGGGGGCTTGGTGCCATCCTGGTAGCTGCAGGAGGGAGGCAACACGTGCCAGTCGGCTTACGCCCTGGATGCGCTGGCGAGCGCTCAAGGCAATGGGGAAAGCACTGAAGGCAGCAATCCACTCCACCTGACTGCTACCGCAATGAGGCGCAGGGTCAGCACCATCTGCGCTCCGGTGAAGTCGAGGTGCCCTTCCTGCAGCGCATGTGAGCGGACATCTTCTTTGGAGTGAAGAACTTGGAGGCAAGATCTCGTGCAAGCGACAGCCTCGAGCTGCCAGCCGTGATATGCCATGAAGCACCCAAAGTTTACCTTCCATGCTACGCCACTAGCTTGCATCACATGCCTGCAGAAGACGACCCAAAGAGGTGGCCATCAAGTTCTGTGCATGATAGCTGGGCAAAACAGATCCATAAATTTATGAATGCGCCACCAGCCCAGCCACGCATCGAACACAATCTCCGGCTGAGCCCAGCAGGTGGTACTCACGCCAGGATGAGGTACGGAAAGGCAATCAGCCAGGCCAACGTGCCGCAATGCGTGCGGAAGCGGCACATGCAGAAGTACACCAGGGCAGAGGGCACAAACGCGTGGATGCAGCCATTGCCGAAAGGATAATAGATTAGGAGGAACCCTGTGACAACGCTGAAGGCGTGGCGTCCTGCAGGTCACCAGCCGCCAAGGCTGCGCTGCGTCAGCAACGGCGACAAACTGGCCGCCCCGCCCCGCCCCGCAGCGGCGCTCCGCCCCGGCTCGCCCGCACCATCGCTTTGCGCAGGCTCACCTCGGCGTGGCACTACCCTCAAGAACGCTCCAACCAGCACTGACAGCAGGAAGGCGACGGTGAACCTGAACTGACTGATCGTAAGGCCCGCCGACGCGCAGGCATTGAGCTCCCAGGGCTGAGGCGGCAACAGTGTGCTATACAGCTTTGGCGACGACATTCACGCCATCCACGAGCTTGCAGAGCGAAAGCCTGCAAGCCCCGGGCTCTTCCGCAGACAGCAAAATGATTGTGCTGTGGGGACGATGCAGCCGCCGTTCAAGATGCCCGCGGCTTCAGGGAGAGACACAGCAGCGACAGGCTGGCGGTGGCGGGCGGCACGCGGGCGCTCTCACAAGATGTGCAGTCCCCCCCTCCATAGAGTCTCAGCGATTGTTTACACGTGCAAAATGCAGAGGCGCGGGAGGATGCTGCTGGCTGGGATTTGATGGGCGGGGGGGGACGGCGTGGCGTGGCCGCTCGTCTGCTGCCCTGGCTACGCCCCCACCTCCAGCGCTGCCGGCAGCTCCAGGTCTGCCGCCGTCGCCACCTCCTTCGCCTCCAGGTCCACAAACTGGTCGCTCTTGGCCGCCAGCTCCGCGATGGCGATGCGGCCGCGCTGCCTGATGAAGTCTGCCACCGCCTGCATCTCCTCGGGGCTGATGAAGATGAACTGCGGGGCAGGCAGGCATGAGCCGCACAGGTGGTGGGCAGCTGGTGCAGGGCTGGACTACGAATGGGCACCCTGGCAGTGTGCCGCTTGCCCAGCAATGGCAGCACTGCTAAATGTAGGAGCTGCCTGGCGCGTGTGAAGGCGCTGAAGCACCCCCTGGGGCTCCTCCAAGCTGAGCCAGAGCCTGACTGACCACCCACTGCCTCATGGGCTGCACATCCCGCCTGCCAGCCGCGCCGGCCGCACCTTGCCGCGGTCATCCATGACGCCGGTGATGCCGCCCTCCGCCTCCAGCTCCTGCACCCGCTTGATCACCTCCTGCGTGCGCATGCCAAACTCCGCCGCCAGCTCATCCAGCGCCACCGTCTTGCGCCGCCGGATGTAGTCCACAAAGCGCGACTGCAGCGCCTGCGCTGGGCAGCGTGGGGGGCAAGGGCAGGTGAGTGCATGCGCCACGTCATCGCCGCGGGCTGGGGAGCACCTGCCAATGGATGGAGGGCTGGCCCTGCCAAGACGCCTGCTGACTGCCATTGCAGAGGCAGAAACAACATGGAAGCACCTGGCCCTCCTCCTGGCTCAGCGCCTCCTCGCCTGCCGCCTCCACCGTGAACATGTGCATCCACTTGGCGGCCTCCTCCTCCTCGCGCCGCCGACGCTCCTCCGCCGCCCATCGAATCTCCTCCTCCTGCGCCGCCTCCTGCGCCTCGCGCTCCGCATCGCGCGCCGCACGCCGCGCCTCGTACGCCTGCAGCACGAAGATGGGGGAGTGAGTGCGTGTGCTGCAAGTCTGGGCTCGCAGGCAGCACCACCACTTGCCAAGGTTCCCGTGCATGCATGGCACTCACATCGCGCGCGGTGGGCTGCCGAAAAGCAGGCTCGGGTCGATCCTGCTGCTCGTCCTGCACACAGACGCGAGGGCATGCAGACAAGCTTGGTGAATGGCGGCGGCGGTGGCGGTCTTTACAGAGGGCCTCGCTACCCTACGACTCCGGCGAGCTTTTCTGAGCTGCAGGCAGTGTTGGTTGCTAAAGCAGCAGCATCGGCGCACCTCGTCCTCATCCTCTTGCTCCTCGTCCTCGGCTGCAGCTGCAGCGCGGCGCCGCCGCCGCCGCACGCCGCCTGCCGGGCGGTTCAGCCCCCGGGCGGGGATACCCATGCCCAGCGCCTGCACACCAGGCAATTGTGAGGGCAGCAGCCGGCGATCAGAGGGCCTCAGAAGGCAGACACTCAGGTCGGGAGCACTCCATCGGCTAGCTGCACCGCTCGCAGTCCGGCGAGAGGGGACTCGCGGTCGCCTCACCTCTGGCTGGCCGGCCTCGCCTCCCTGGCTACCGCCCTGACTGCTCAGGAAGCGGAGCACCCCCGCGAGGAAGGCCGCCAGGGCGACCACGGCGATGATGAGGGCCAGCATGGATGGTGGGTATTGCTCGCGGTGTGAATTCGGGCGGCTTTTGGTCAGTGTAGCAGGAGCCTGAGCCGGCTCCCTGCCTTGCGTTTTCCCGCTTCCTGGTTACCTTATGATTGATCGCTATGAGGCTATTCCCTATTCTGAGGCTTGTCAGCCTTGCATCATGAGCCGCTTTCCACTTCGCTTGACTGTGTACTTTAGCCGTGGAAGAGCAGGTCCTGTAAGCATTCTCACTCGAACAAGCCCGCTCCCAGGAACCGGGTGCGGCTACAATTGGGGGGACATCCGAGAAACAGTCGTGCTGCACTGCTGCAGCGCGAGATAACTCACATGGCTCAGGTGTGTGCCATGCGCGAGTAAGCGCCTAGCTCGTGCCTGTGCCCGGGGGTAGGGGTTGGGGACATAGCTGGGGGAGCCGGCAGGGGCTTGCCGGTTATGCATGCAGGCCATCACTAGCAATCGGGCTGCTCTGAGCGCCACCGGGCTGCTTTAAGCGCCACTGGGCTGCTTTACGCGCCACTGGGCTGCTTTACGCGCCACTGGGCCGCTTTGAGCGCCACTAGAAGCCCTGGGAGACTAGCCTTGTGCTTGGAAGGGTCGGAAGGATCTACCAGCATCCAGACGCACCCCACCCACGACGCGAGCAATTCTCCGCGCCTTGTAAAGGGGCGCTGACGCCATGGACGTGGTGCTGGCCTACGGACCCACGCCTGTCGCAGCCGACCCGGCCCAGGACCCCGGCGCCGACAGGGGGACGCTGGCCGCCCAGCTGGACCAGTCGCTGGCAGCTTTATGAGCATTGATTGGTACTTGCAGTAGTTGCACGGCTGTTTAACTGAGTTTGCTTCACGGTACTCTGGCCTAGAGATAATCAGCTGCCATGGAGAGTGGCACTGATCCCCGGGCGGATGGAGAGTCGCCCGACCCGGGCAGTGATGGTGCAGGTTCACGCACAGGTGGCGAGCTGGATTCGGCTGCGCCCACAGGAACGACAATACTACCCGTTGGCGGCGGCGGCGCAGGAACTGGCACTGGTGATGAGTTGCCTCCGGCTGCGCCCCCCGCCCCAGCACTGGGCCCTGGCTGACAGCACAGGGTCGAGCGGCCCACAGGGCGAGCAGCAACAAGGGGTGGACGACCCACCTGCACCCCTGGCTGGTCCGCCAGGCCGTTTCAACTAAACCCAGGGGCAGCAGATCCAGCTGCAAGGGAGGAGGGCTGTGATGCTGGGCACAGCCGGAGCTTGGAAAGGACAACGGATTTGAGCAGGGTCCAGGGCGGTTACAGCCCTGGCCTGGCAAGTGCCTCCGCGGGAGCGCCAGGTGGCGCCCCCGTTGCGCGCGCAGGAGAGGAGGCACATGCCGAGACGGGGGAGGAGAGCCATGCTAGCCAGCCTGGAGCGGACCCCCGCTCTGAGGTACCTTCACAAAATGTACCTGTGGAGGCAGCACCGGGCAGCGCGTTGCCGCCCAGTGCTGAGTGTGCGGTCGGGCAATCCACCCAGCACAGGGGCCAAGTGACTGCAGCACCTGCCCCCACCCCAGCAGAGATTGCTGAGGGTCCCGGGAGTGGGTGTGCACACGGTAACACGGAGTGCCAGCTGGCGGATGCGGTCCCAGCTGACGCCTCCCCGGACGAGGGAGGGACCTCCTCGGTACGTGAGGAGGGCACTGTGCTGACGGCTAGTACAATCACAACGGGGCATGTCCCAGGGGACCTGATCAGTCCCTGCTTGGGCAACCAACGGAACCAATGTGAAGCCCAAAGCAACCAGATGGGCGTTGGCGGCGCGGGTGGCGGCGAGGTCGGAGACGCCGCCGCTGACTGCCACAACCCCCACCAGACCGGGACGGACCCCTTTGATGTACTGTTAATGTACAAGGAATGGCTGGAATGCCCTGAGCCCTACTGCCAGCAAGTAAATTCCCTGCTCATGGAAATGGCAGCAGGCAGGCAGCCATTCCCCGACAGGGGAGTAACCCTGAACGCCATCCGCTCGGCACAGCGGCAGGCGCCAGGGCGGGTGATGAAGCTGATTGGTCTCCTCCAGGATAGGAGAGGCACCTTGCTGGTGGATGGCGGTGCCGACCTCTGCTTCATGGACCCAGCAGTCGCCGAGGAATTGCAGCTGACCCCTCAGCCGTATGAGGGCGGAGCCGCATCGGTGACGCTGGCTGATGGCCGGCAGCGCCCACTGCTGCAAAGTGTGCAGTGCTTTGTCCAGATTGGGCAGTACACCGACCACCTGCAGTTTTTGCTGACACCTCTGGTCGGCATGGATGCAGTCTTGGGTGCTGACTGGCTAGCCACGTACAGGGTGGCCACGGATTACAGGGCCCGAACTGTGCAGTTTCAGGGCCCGACGGGGCGGCACCACACCCTGGAGCCGGATACCGACTATAACACGCCGACGTGCCTGTTGACGGCAGCCGAGGTGGATGCTGCCTTCATGGCAGGGGAGATTGAGAGCATGAGTTTTGTGCTGCCTAGAGGGCTCAAGGACCCGGCAGCGTATGGCGCCACCACGGCAGGGCTGTCCGCCGCCACAATGGCAGGCGCCCCGCCGGCAGACGCGCCAGCGCCCACCTGCAGCCCAGTACCTCAGGCTGCAGGCGGCGCTCGCTCCACCGGCATCCCCGGGGCGGGCCCCACTACTTTCCTGACTTCGGCGGAGCTGCGGAAGGCAGCTGGTCTCAGCAGGGAGAAGCTGCTGGCCACCTACGCTGACCGCCTGGTGGAGGGCATCCCCTCTCTCCCTCCTGACCGCGGCAGATTTAACTTTACCATTGACGAGGAGCCTGGTGTACGGCCCGTCATGCGCCCGGCCTATCGGATGTCGGCGGCAGATCTGGAGGAGTTGAGGCGGCAGCTGGCTGAGCTGCAGACGAAGGGATTCATTCGTGCCTCCTCCTCTCCCTATGGTGCACCTGTGCTGTTTGTGACCAAGAAGGGCGGCGCCAAGCGGCTTTGTGTTGACTGGCGTATGCTCAACCAACAGACCATCAAGAATGCACACCCCTTGCCCCGGATTGACGAGACGCTGGATCAGCTGCTGGGTGCCAAGGTGCTGAGCAAGCTGGACCTGGCCAATGGCTACCACCAGCTGCTGATGGACCCGGCGCACGTCCACAAGACGGCCATGAACTGCGGCCGGTATGGGCTGTGGGAGTGGGTGGTGATGGGTTTTGGCCTGACCGCCGCCCCTGCAAAGTTTCAGACGCTGCTGAATCATGTAATCACTCCCGACATGGCAGCGTACTGCGTGGTGTACCTGGATGACATTTTGGTGTTCTCCCGGTCTGAGGAGGAGCACAAGCAGCACCTGGCCCAGGTGTTCCACAGGCTGAGGCAGTTCCAGCTGTATGCCAAGGAGAGCAAGTGTGAATTCTTCTGCACTGAGCTGGAGTACCTGGGGCATGTGGTCTCTGCCGACGGCGTGCGGCCGGTACACAACAAGGTGCTGGCGGTGCAGGAGCTGCTCCCGCCCCGCACCCCCACAGAAATCAAGCAGTTCATGGGGATGGTTGGGTTTTACCGCCGCTTCATCCCTCACCTGTCCCACATCTCCAAGCCGTTGCGAGACCTGGAGAAGAAAGGCACTGCCTTTGTGTGGACAGCGGCGCACCAGCGTGCTTTCCAGCAGCTGAAGGACGCGCTGACCTCGGCCCCCTTGCTGAGTGTGTTTGACCCAGGCAGGCCGGCAGTGGTCTACTGCGACGCCTCTGAGTATGGCGGCACCGGGGCCTGCCTAATGCAGGACTTTGGCAGCGGGCTGCAACCCGTTGCTTATGAGAGCAGGGGCTACTCCCCCGCTGAGCAGAACTACCCAGTGCATGACAAGGAGATGCTGGCAGTGGTGAGAGCTCTGAAGACGTGGAGACACTACCTGCTGGATGTGGAGCTGACGGTGTAAAAGGTAAAGGTGGGGAAGAGCCTCCACAAGCTTCACTTCCCGGTTTTAACGTCTAGCTTTAGACCATTATTTGATCTG